TGTCCACTGAAGAAACATCTGTTTGTGGTCATTTTGTGTCCTTTTGTGTTTGGTTCTGGCTCTCTGTGGTCCATTTGCGTCTCGTTTTACTCCTGTTGTGTGTCTTTGAAGCTGTTTGTCTGCAGATTTTTGACTATTTTTGAGTAACTTATTTGTCTTTATGGTCCTTTTGCATATCATCGCATCTACTTCTGTTCGTTTTGTGTCTCTTTCTATGCGGTGATGTCTCTCTGCGGCAGATTTGTGTCTCGTTTTGTTGTTGTTTTGAGTCTTTTTTTTTGTGTCTTTGCTGTTATTTTATCGGTTCAACATGATGTCAGTTAGTTTGGAGTCGACCCCAACCAGCTGAGAGACCGAAAACTAATAACAAAATGTGCATTAATGTCAGTTTTACCAGAAACCAGGGGGTTTTATCTACATGGGCTGCATTCTTTGTACTAAGAAGGTGATGAAAAGAGAGTTTATCGGAGGCTTTAGCTGAAAACAACTGTTAAATTCAGTAAAGCTGCAGAAACAAACACAACGAGCTGAAAGTTAAACTGCTCTGACGTGGTTATCCGTTTCATTTTCATGCTGCGCTACGCTCCTGGAGGCTAAATATGAATTAAACTGAACCAAAAACTCATCACTGGCTGAACATCTGCTTTACAATAGGATGCTACCATTCACGGATGTTCCTTAAACGCCTCACATGGAGGTTATAGTAGAAGCCAACTGGACACCTGTGCTCAGAGAAGCTTCTAGTCTCAGAATTCAGAGCATCATCGAGAGGCTGAATATGAATTAAATTGAACTAAACAGTCCTCACTGGCTGAACATTTGCGTTTCAGTGGATGCTATAATTTATGGAGGTTCCCTAAAAGCCTCAGATGAAGATAAAAGTTGAGGCTAACGAGACGTCCGTGCTCAGAGAAGCTTCTAGTCTCCTTCANTGGAAAACTTTGGCTGCTCTGTCGGTTTGTGTCTCATTTTTGTTTTTTAGTGTCTAATTTCTAGGTTTTTATCTCATGTTTGGAGTCTGGTTCAGGTCATTAAGTTTCTTTCTTTTTTGTCATTTTGTCAAGTTTGTGTCGTTTTGTGTCTCATTTTTGTGATTCAGTATCTCGTTTCTGTCTCTAAGTTTTGTGTTTTCAGTCTTTATTTTGCTATTTAGAGCCTTATTTATGTCTCATATTTGTGGTTTTGTGTCTTATTTTTGCAATTTTGAGTCTCGTTTTCGTTTTTTAGTGCCTAATTTTTTATTTAGTTGAAGTATTTTGAAACACCAACAATCAGTTTTTATCTCATGTTTGGAGTCTGGTTTTTTCACCTGTACTTTCTGGTTTTTGTCATTTTGTGTCTCCTTTTCACTGTTTTGTCTCTTTTATGTTGGTTTTTTTGTAGTTTAGTTTCTTGCTTTTGTAGTTTTAGTCACATTTCTTCATCATTTTAGTCTCAAATTTATGGTTTTGTGCCTTATTTTTGCAGTTTTGAGTCTCATTTTTGTTTTTTAGTGTATACTTTTTATTTAGTTGAAGCATCTTTTCTACCACAAACAACATTCAGTTTTTATCTCATGTTTGGAGTCTTGTTTTGACCATTCTCTGTCTGGTTTTGGTCATTAAGTTTCCTGCTTTTTTGTCATTTTGTCTAGTTTTTGTTGGTTTATGTCACATATTTGTAATTTTGTATCTTGTTTTTGCACTTTAGAGTCTGGTTTTTGTCCTGTACTTTATGGTTTTGGTCATTTTGTGTCTCCTTTTTACTGTTTTGTCTCTTTTATGTTGGTTTTTTGTAATTTAGTTTCTTGCTTTTGTAGTTTTCGTCACATTTCTTCATCACTTTCATCTCAAATTTATGGTTTTGCATCTTGTTTTTGCAGTTTTAAGTTTCATTTTTGCCATTTTTAGTCTTTCTTTGTAATTTCGTTTCACAGTTTTGTCGCTTTGTCTTGTTTTTGTTGCTTTTGTGTGTTGTTTTTTTCCTTTTTTGTCTCATTTTGTGTCCTGTTTTTGCAGTTTTGAATCTAGTTTTGTTGCTGAAACGACCTGAAATCAAACTCTGCGCCTCGTGCACGTTCATCTGTGAGAACTTCGGGGATGGAGTTTTGTGAAAGAGGACAACGATGCG